GGGGGGGGGGGGATCTTCCCACCCTCTTGTCGCTTAAAGGTGTCCCGATGATCTCTTCGCGAGATCTGCCGTGTTGAAGGAGTGCCACGGCAGCAGCGTCCCGGTCCCGGGCTGGTTGAGGTGCCACTTCTGGTGGTGCTTCACCATCTCGTACTCCTCCACAGTCGCGGGGAAGTCGCGGTCCGTGGGCGGCCGCACGTAATGTGAGTGGCGCCGCCCGGCTTCGGGGTGCGCGTACTTGCTCTCGTCCTCGTACCAGCGGACGAGCCAGCCGCGCTTGCGGGGGTTTGTCGCGAGGCCCTCGAGGCCTTTGCGCTCCGGCATCTCCTGCTCCATGAACACCGGGTACTCGTCGGGGTGGAGTTCCTGGTAGAGGCCCTCGTGCGTCATGTACACGCCGGTGAATGAGCCGCCGGCCGCCTCAATAAGGCGGATGCTCTCCGCGGACGCGTTCTGCAGCTCGATGTGGATGGGGTACGGCACACGCGTCACACCGCCCGTGACAAGGACAAAGCCGGGCCACACAATTTCGCGCTCCGCCACCACGTGGGCCTCGCGAAGGTGGTACAGCGTAATGACCTCATTCGGGTTAATGCGGCCCGTATCAATTGCCCAGAGCAGCTTGCTCAATTTAAGGCGAGAGAAGACCAACTTTCCCTCGTAACGATTGCGAGGGCCACCGGCCGAGACACGTGGTGCAAGCATGAAGCGTGGCGTCATTTTGCGCTCCTGCCATTGGCCACGTGCAAACACGTTGCGCCTGTCATTGTACCCACGCGAGTACTTCCAGCTGCCGCCGATCTTCATCCAGCCCATCTTAATCATGTTATGACCGCTACGCAAGCCTACGTACTCTGGCGTTGGCGTGAGGTCTCTCACCGACTGCGTGATCTGCGGATTGAGGTACTGATCCCAGTGGCTCCATTTATGCTGCGTCGTCCGCTCGTTCAGCCGCGAGCCGACAACTGGTAGCGGGTGGTCCTCGTCGAACTCCTTCCTACCGGCAAAATCTTGCCAGTTATTCCGCGGCTTCGCGAGGAGGTTGCTGCTGTTGATGAGCGGAAACATGGACTTTGCTGGGCTCATGTGCAGCGGAATCGTCTCTCGCCGTGGGTGGAAGAGGCGGTGGCGCCGCAGCAAAAACGTCGGCGAGAGCATACGGGCACTTCTCTAATCGCTCTTGTGTTTCCTTTCGTATCTTTCCCTATAGTCTGTTCCTGACGCTGGCCCTCCGCCTACTCGCTGCGGCCCACCAATTCCGTCTTTTTCTTCCTGCTATGGCTCAGCGTACAAACCGAAACAATAACAAAAAAAGAAACGAAAAGAAAACGAAGAAACACAACGAGGAAGAGTGAGCACCGAGACGAAGGCACCAGAGCCAACCAAAGCACATCCGTTTCCTGTGTGAGATGCGAGAAGGGAACCCCTCATCACACACAGAAGACATGAACACCTACGCACCCACATACAACCAAAAGTACAGCCGCTCTTGCTGTACCTCATCTCTACATGGCGAAGATAAATAATGATGGCGGTAATGCGCGTTGCGAGAAAGCGCCCCGCCGATCGGGCCACTATGGCTACACCGAGACGAACCGAGAGTCCACCTGCTCGCACACCTCCTCAAACACACGCTCCACCGACTGGTCCCCGTTAATGCGCACAAAAAACGGCTCATAGCACTCGATGAGTTCATCCTTCCTCGCGTCAAAGTACTTCCACCTGCCCACCACCGTTGCGAGGGATGCATCGCCGTCCTCCGTGGGCTCCACCATTGTTCCCGCCGGCGGCAGCACGTACTTCTCGTGGTAAACATTCTGCGTGATGGGGTCGTAGCGGCGCCCAGCGCAGCGCTGCACCGCCACCTCCGCCGGCACATCCAGCACAGCGAAGAGCATCGGCGACATGCCGGCCTCCTGCAGCCGCAGCGCCTGCGATCGGGTGCGAGGGAACCCGTCGAGCACCCACCCATTGCGAGCAGCATCCTCTGCGTTCAGCCGCTTTATGATGAGTTCTGCGGCGACATCGCTGGGAACCGCGTTTCCTTCCCGAAACCAGCTTGCTCTCGTCTTGCCCTCCTCCATATTTTTCTCCATCTCCTCACGAAATATTTCATCAGCATTGACGAGGACCACGCCGTATTTCTGTGCGATACGGCGCGACTGTGTTAGTTTCCCACTCCCGGAAGGCCCGACAATCATCATCCGCAACGAAGTTTTGCCCTCGAGCGACCTCAGCAGGAACTCTAGTGGGTCTTCTGGGAGGTGCAGCAACACGTCATGGAAGAGTTCCTCCAGCAGTGGTTTGATGTGCTTTTCCTCAAGGTACGTGACAGAATCCTCTGAGAGATCACCGGTCGACATCCTTTGATTCTGTTTTTTTTTTTGTTTTGCTTTCCCTTTGTGTAAGTCTGTGTGTGTGTGGGGGGGAGGAGCGGATGCTATATTTCTAAGGCTGCAGGTGTGATGCAGGCGGGTGGCGAAGAAGCGGAGAGAAGCCATGGAGGAGACAACCAACACACACCAAATGCGCACACAAGAGGGAACAGTATGCCCCGAGTGAGGACAAACACGGGAAGATGGAGAAACACGAATCCGCCCACACCAACCCCTCTGCAGATAGCAGTGTCACTCTGCCTCTTCTTGATTCTTTTCGTTTATTTTAGTTCCAGCTCAATGGTGTAGCAGCGCTGCAAGTCATCTGTAGCAACGAGGCGCACCTCCACGTCAAGCGTGACATCGGTGGACGTGAACTCCACGAGTTCCTCCGCCCGCACGGATGCGGGTAGGAGGATCGTTGTCTGCTTCCAGTGCGTGGGCGGGCAGCGCGGCGACGTGCTCAGTACCGCGTCACGGAAGCTCACATCAAACCACAACGTGAATCCATCAACAACAACGCGGGGCGGGTCAACAGCTGTAAAGCGCTCACTAAACACAGCGGAGGTGGGAAAGTCGAAGTGCACGGTTTTGCACAACGACGCCACAGCGTCCGCCGACACGGCGGCGAGGTCCAGCTCCGCCAGCAGCGCCCCCTCGTGCAGCAGGCACGCCGGTGGTACGGTGTCGATGAGCGGCGCCGCGCTCTCAAGGTGCGTCTCGTACTCCATTGCGCCATAGCGGCTGAGGTCGACGCCGTCGACGCTGCCCCAAAAGCGGCGGTAGCGCTCTTCGTAGTACGGGTGGCAGCTCATGGGCGCGACGTGTATTGTTGCGCGATCTGGGACCATCTCAACAGGCCGAGAAATGCCAAGCAGCACGTTTACCTCATTGAAGAAGTCTCGCGCGCGCACAACGGAGGACAGCATGCCCTCGTGCAGCAGATAGAACCCCATCCACTCCGACACCACCACCGACACGCCGCAGCCCTGCAGGACTGCCCCGTGCTGCGCCACAAAGCTCGCGGCCCCACGCCCCACGACGTTCTCCACAGTGTCCGGCAGCAGCGTCACGCTCTCCGAGAGGCCGTTGTCTGCGAGCACCTCCGCCTGCACGTGCCGCAGCGGCGACGCCTCAATGGAGAAGACATGCCTCGCCCCGGCGCGCGCCGCCCACATGGAGAGAATGCCTGTCCCGGAGCCCACGTCCACCACAACGCGGCCGCGAACAACGGCGTCGCAGGTCATCACGTGGCGGTAGAACGACATGCGCGGCTCATCCGCCAGCATCACGCGGTGCACGCCGAGGTCGGCGTAGCCGTCGAAGTACTGCTCCTGCAGCGACTCGCCCGAGTCATAGTCCTCGGCGAAGTGCCGTGACGCCATGAACCTCTGCAAGCAG